TAAATATTGTAGTTTATTTATTGTAGCCTATTTAAAGTTTTTTTTCACACAAAATTTCAATTGAAGTTATTGTACGGTGAATTCAACAAGGCATGCTGTGTCTTTGAAGCAACAATTAAAGGCTAAATAATTTTTTCGTGATTTGTATGGCTGACACGCAGCGACATATACAGTAGTATTATCAGAGCGAGGGAGACTAAATAAACTTGTTAAAAAGAGATCCAGCGCGAGAGAGGCAAAGAGAAACGCATGTTTTTAATTTAAATATGTTTCTTTGGACAATTTTCGTTTTGTACTGTTTTAATTGTTTAATTTAGCTGTAATTTCTTTGGCAATACGAATTTAAAATGTCGCAAGAATAAGATTAGCCTAGTGTTTCTTATTTTGCATCGCAAAAGAAATAAACTCTAAACCGATGCAACCCTGTTTTAAATAAAAAAAAACTGTCCCGACACTTTATTTAAACCTTGAAATGTTCGAACTTGGTTTCAAACATAAGTAATTTGTGTTCTTTTACATTACACAATAATTTAGCAGACTAAAGACGAGCTTCTTCTTTTTCATTTTCTGATGCAATCGGCTGACAATCTTCCTTCATCAGTTTTTGTCGTTTGTGCAGCGGCTGCGGTTCTACAGGAATGTAGCAAATTTATGTTGTAATGATAATCAAACAAAACTCTTGACTTTAAATAAGTAAACAGATATAAACAGTTACCTATTTAAGCATCAAGGTGGGAAAATATAAACGTAGGACAACATCGGTTAACAACATGTATGCTACATTGAGATTCGATCTCGGGTCGTTTGAAGCTCCTCGAAGCTCGTGTTGATGCGTTGATCACTGAGCTACCGTCTATACGCTGATAAAGTTGTAAAGCCTCATTCATGTAGCCTAAATGTTTTTATTGCAATGTTTTATGTTGAAATGTTTTCATTATTTATTCAATTACATTTCAGTAGCCTAATTTCAGTATTGTGATTATGAATTATTTTAACTACATTTCACTTGTTGAATTCTTCTGCTACCAGCTTTCAATCGCTCTGAATCAGTGCGGTGCGGCAGCAGATTACGCATTAGAGAGAATAAACCGGAATAAACAAACACTTTTCAGAGTCTATGATTGTAGCGCCTCTTAGCGGTAAAAGGCAGCAAATACACCACACATTTTACCGCCGCGGTGGAACGGCTGATGTGGGCATTGTCATGGCTTGCCTCGACATTTGCGTTTGAATAGCGTGCGTCCTCCGTGGGCGTGTCAGATTAACGCGTAATGAAGTGTAATGAGCTGGGGAAAAAAATACTGACAGCACTCTCTTTTCATACAGATTGCATAAACTGAGAATATTTGTTTTTTATATAAATTACTTCATTTAAAAGAAGAGAATTTAAGCTTCATAAAGAAAAACCTCTCGTGCCTGTGTGACAAGTAATCGCGGAGTTACAGTTAATCTTAGGACGCGTTTCAGAATGGACTTCACTGACAGAGAGAACGCAGAACTCGCATCATGTTTGTTTTTCTTTATTTGGTGAAAAGCACAACACTTTGTTTTTATTGTGAGTATCCACAAAAAAAATAGAAACTTAACAGGATCTAATGATGTACAACACTTATATGTAAGATCAAAATTAACCGAGTATTTTGAGTCTCTTTTACACTGATAAGAAAAAAAGCGAGACAATCGCGCCGGCGCGATAGCCGACCCCAGGGGGTTAATGTCAGCCAAAGTTACTAGCCACTCAGTATTTTCACTGGCCACAATTTTGACGTCGATACCATGGGGAAAAACTGCCATATAGATATTTTAAACATTATCCCCAAAATTTGGCAGCAGGTATATTAGGCTGCTGTCACTTTAAGACCTGACACACGGATCCATTATACTGTTACACATGCATTTTCTTTCTCAGCTGTTCACTTAGAACTTAACTGAAGAAGAAAATAACTCAATTTAGTACTGAGAGGCGGCTTTATGTGTGCGCACTTTGGGTGTGAGCACAAAATCTGTGGAAATGAGTCAAATTATGCGCATTGTGCAATCCCACACCGAAATTCAAGCCCTGCAACAACAAACAATATTCATCCGGAGCACATGAGTGAGGGGAGGCGGGTTTGTGTGTAAACTCACTGTTGTGAAATGAGAGTGCAAAAAGAAAGCGCAGCTGGTATCGTGTAACTATTCTGTGGAAAATGAGTATTGGAAGCGTTTCAGATATTTCAGTATCGATATGTATTGAATTTTTTTTTTTTTTTCTACATTGCACTTAGTTTATTATTTCAGATGCCTTTTTAAAAGACTACATTTGAAAAATGTATATATTATACATGGAATTTAACCCACCAAAGTGGCTAGTAGGAGTGACTGTGTTACACGCCACTGCTGAAATCCACTGGCATTTGGCAGGTGTTAATGTCAAGCCCTGCTTCTGACCTAACAGAAAATGGTGAGAGTTGATTCAGTGCTGTTTTCTATGTGCATTCAATGTTGAAAACAATTGTGCTGGTTAATATGTTTGTGGAGACCGTGATAAATCAGGATTCTTTGATGAATAGAAAGTTCAAAAGAACAGCATTTAATTAAAAGCTTCAGTGGCTGAGGTTGTAGAGATTGCACATTAGACTGTTGCTCTTAATGGGAGACTGTCAAAGAGAAATTCACTATTAAATAAAAATGTCATGATATCTTGGCACAGCATGTCGGAGACTCTGAAGCCGTCTGGAAGATGCTTCTGTGGTCTGATGAGACCAAAATGGAGATGTTTGTCCATTAGAATAAACGGCATATTTGGCATAAGCCGAACTTTGCACATCAGAATGCTGCTCCATCCCCATGGTGAAGCACGGTGGTGGCAGCATCATGCTGTGGGAATGCCTGGCAGGCTTGTGCGGGTAGAGGGTAAAAAATGCAAATCCTAGAGGAAAACGTGATGAAGTCTGCAAGACCCAGATATACAGGAATGACTGAAAAACAACAACTTTTATGTCCTGGATTGGCTGTTTCAGAGTCCACAACTCAATCCAAGAATTTAGAGGTGGACTTGCTGTTCTCTCATGATGTCCATCTCTACAAAATGGGAGAATGAATGAGGAAAAATTGCAGTGGCCAGATGTGCAAAGCTGATAGAGAACCAAACACACACAGACTCAAGGCTGTAATTGGTTTTAACAGGTTTACTTATAAGATTAGACAAATATGTTTAAGCCATTTCTTGTTGTTCTTTGGTCTTTCTAAACACTGTCTGGAATAGCCAGACGTTCTGAACCATTTCATGAGATAAAGCTCTTGGTTTCCGTGATATGTTCAATGCACAGACTTGGAAAGAAATATGAGTAAATGCTGGCAAAGATATTCTTTAATACATTTATTTGTAAGTGAATTCCAGGTCATCTTTGCACAGAACCGTAGTGTCAATGAGAAAACCAGCTGGGAACTGCTGCAAGATCACTTTATAAATGTTCTTTTTGTTAAACAGAAATTATGAGAGAAAAAGTTTGGGAAACACTTTATATTAGTGTCCTTGTTACTTGTACTTACTGTAGTACTAACCCTAAACCAAAACTGCACTTTATTTTTAGACCTGTTCCCCATGTACATACTATGTATACTATGCTTACCTTATATTACCCAGTACTTTCTTAGGTAAGTACACATGTGCACATATACTGTAAAATAAAGTGAAACCCCAAAACCTGTTTGACCATCGGCTATGGTCTATGGTCTAACCCTATAGTAAGTAGAATATTACTCAATACTTAAATGTATAAGCACTGTAAGGACACTTTAAAATAAAGTGTAACCAAATTTTGATGTACTGTTTTTGCAGATGTATTATAAAAAGGGATAATGTTTGTCCTTTGATTATTTTTCCTTTTCTTTCTCTCACTAACTTAGAAATACGATTTTATGCCAGACGTCTCTGGAAAGACCTGAAGCTCTTTCAGCAGTAGCTCTCTGTGTGAATAAACTTGATTTTATTAGTCAACTTGGCTATTGTTTTCAGAAGATGATAAACCCTTCTCTTAAATTGTGCTGCAAAGTTGCATTATGCAGACCGCTAAAATGAAAACCATCATTTGGACCACAAAGGTAAATCCAGACTTTGTGTGGAACATGCTCCCTTAATCAACAACATCCCCCTCAAGGTATCCGGGAGACGGTGCTTTTATCTGACTGTGAATGTGATGAAAAAAATTAATTTATATGGCATTATTCAGTAATACCCTCTGTGATATTGATGGGCCTGAAGAACTACACAGCCCTACGCATCCAAAGTCCAATGCTACCTCACTGAATCCCACTACAAAGATGGTAATTAAGCAGTAGAACAGAGGAGATGATGGGTGTCAGGTGGCGCAGAGGTTTTCAATGAGATTAATGTTTACCTCACATACTCTCTGACAGCAGACAGTGTTGTCTAGCTTTGTATTGATATTTACTCTAAATCCTTTGCAGCTTGTAGTTAATTCATAACCCTCAAGTTTCGTGCGGCATCTCGGAGACCCCAAGGCTTTTTAAATAGCTCAAAAAACATCAGAATCTTATGAGAGCTGATTATAAACAAAATCTCAGAAAGCATAACTTTATGTAAAAATACAGCATCCTTTATTATTATTGGCACCAACACAATTGCTCAAATCTAATTTTGGATGATTGCACGTCTGATATTGCTGCGGTGATTGGGCTTTTTATGCCCTGTCCACAGAAATTGCTTGAGCTTTTTGCCATTTCTAAAATGCATGTTAATAGAAAGCTAAGAGCTACAGGAGAGTGCTCTGCTGTCATGGCACGACATCACCCCCAGCATTTCTAATTAGCTAATTTGGCCGGATTTGAAACGCTACGTCTTGTTAGAAAAAGCAAGAGTTTGACATGAATTGGATTTCTAAAACCTGTGGAATCTATCAGGCTGACATGGTGCTTTATGCTGTTGACTTCACAGGATGTCTAAAAGTGGTTGTTTTTCATAAGTCACACTTTTTTTCTCTCTCTCTGTCTCTCAGGGACTCAAACCAATGGATCACAATGGGTTGTCAGATCCCTATGTTAAGCTGCACCTGCTGCCTGGAGCTAGTAAGGTATGTGCCTGCTCACCAATTGCATTGGTTTACACATTCCAAGGAGGCTTGTAGTTATATTATTTAAATGTTTTAAGGCAGTGGTTCTCAACCAGGGGGCCTTGACCCATTGGAAGGTCTCTGCAAACTTCTAAGGGGATCACAGGATTACTTAAAATTATTCAGATTAATATATGATTACTTATAAAATGTGAATGTGTATTATTATCAATAAAATAATAATTAATTAATAGTTAATTAAAATGTAAAAACTTTATGGCAATATGTTGATCGTTGATTTCTTATAATGAAGATTCTGATCGTCATTACGGTCTTTAAAACATGCTAAAACAATGTACACATCTGTTAAACCTGTTAAAAAAAGGTACTGTCTATCACTGTTCAACATCCATATAGTTAAAATTGCATTTGAAATTACATCAGATGTAAGGTCAATTGCTGGAGGTGTCTGTTTGTGTTTACAATTGAAATTCCTAAAATTTAGATGGATGGATGAATGGATGGATTGATAGATACTCTTTTATATTCAACCAGACATCAGACCATTTACAGGACATTCGCTCGGAAGGATAGAAGAAAAGTAGCGGATCCACCATTGCATGCAAAGTTTATAATAAGGAAAACGAAACAAAAACAATAGAGAAGGATATGCTGCTTTGTTTTGATCCATATCGCTCTGTCCGCACTCTTCTGCGACTACCGCAAAGTACACCACAACTGGGCGTATTGCCATTTCTGTCTCAACATTAACCTTGCACCATCTGTGTGGACAAAAATTGGGCGTGGACCCTTCTTATGACAAATATTACGGGCAGAATGCGGGCGGCTAAAGTTACTTCAGTCTCTTGAGTCTGAGGCGTTTAACTTAATGAGCCCTATCATACACCCGGCGCAATGCAGTTACAGGTGCGACGCAAGTGTTTTTCGCTAGTTACAGCCCGGTGCAGTTATCATTTTCACATCCTGCGCCACGTTGTTTAAATGGCAAATGCTTTTGCGCCCATTTGTGCGCCTATGGGCGTGCTGGTCTGAAAATGAGGTGTGTTCAGGCACATTGTTGGCGCGTTGCTATTTTGAGGCAACTAAAATAGACTGCGCCATTGACCAACAAAGACCTGGTCTAAAGTCAATGGCATAATATTTTTTTTGTTATTTAAAGAGCCTGTTAGTAATGTGCGTCTATAGGCGGGTCCACAACGCGCGTAGACTTTGTCCCGTAGATGGTCTGCTTGCGCGCTTTAACCTTGCGCACGAGAAGAAGCGTTTCGTTTTTCCGCTTGCAAATTCCGCCATGTAAATAACGAATCTGCCATGGCGCGAGCGCAACTGGCTTTTAAAGGGAATGGGAGATGAGACTGGATGAGATTGGTTTATTCCACGTTACACCCAAAAAACACCCATTACTCATTAAGAGAATAGAGACAACCCTTTTAGACCATAAGCCGGGCACGCCAACCATTTTTCCATGCGCTTTAGACCATGTGCTTAGATCGTTAAAATAGTGCCCTATGTGTTCTTGACCATTTAATTTTTTTCATAAACTTACTTTAAGAAACAAACACTACCTTAAGATCTAAATTAAGTTTTTCCTTGTCACTGATCAACCTCTGTGTGCTACAAATTATCATCATGCCTCTCATTATGATCTGTTTTTGACCTGTACCATCCTTGCTCAACTACTGACAACATAAGACTCCTCTAAGTCATCCTCCTTCTGTATGGATCATATGTCCTACAGTAGAGCTGAACTCTCCTTCACATGGTTACAGAGTAATCGAATGGGATAGGATATCAGAGTTATCCCATTAGGATTAGGAAACACCTCACAGATGTGCTAGATGAAACAAAGACCCAGGCGTTAATCACACCTGCTTTAATCACCATGAGGAACTTTCCAATTTTCCATGAACAGGGAACAACATAGTGTTTGACACTCTTTTTTTTCCCCCTCCTTTTTCAATAAATGGTGCAAGAAGGTGCTCAAGCTTTATAAAATACTTGGAAAGTCAAACTAAATATTATACAAGCTGTTTTATTGTCCATTAATTGATTTGCCATTTTGCAACCTTGTTACCAAAACTTGGCGCATGTTTAAATACACAGTTTAAACCCCTGATTTGCCTGACATGGTGAAATGGAAGGTCTGGTATATTCTTAGCTTGTGCTAAGAATAAAGACTAAAGAGTACCAGTGAACACAACCACTAATCTACAAGCAAATCTATCATTTCTTCTAGGCCAATAAGCTCCGCACCAAGACCCTACGCAACACTCTCAACCCTGTCTGGAGTGAGACCCTGACTTATTATGGAATAACAGATGAAGATATGGTTCGCAAAACACTCAGGTACCCAATCACAATCTATACATTTATTATTTACTGTGAATTTGATATGTCAAGGCCTCTGCAAAAGTCTATAATTAGACACTTGTGTCTGAACGCTTAACTTATTTGTGTTAAGTTGCCACTGGAAATGACAAAAGCTTATCCATCATAAAGAAGTGACTTAGTGGAGTTTAGCTAAGGGTTGAGTATACCTAAAAAAACAGATTTGGGTAACAGTTTATTTCAATTGTCCACTTTAGACATTCTACTAACTAAGTGACTTTGCAACTACATGTCAACTAGCAGTCATTGGAGTATTAGTAGACTGTATGCTTAATATCTGCTAACACTTTATTTTGATGCTCCACCAACAGACATTCTACTGACTATGTAACTTTGCAAGAATGTCAACTTATTCTACTAACCCTAACCTATCAGTCTACTACAGTCTATTAATACTGAGAGTTAGCTGACATGTAGTTGCAAAGTTACGTATAGCTAGTAGAATGTCTAAAGTGGACCATCGAAATAAAGTGTAACCTACATATGTGCTACATATTGAGAGAAAAAAAACATTAGGTTCATTCCCATGACGTATAGGTGGGATAAAAAGAAAAGGATATCAGAGAAAGTGGCACACGAAGCAAATCAACTTAAGTTTAATGAGGGCTTTTCAAAAATGTCAGTGGTGACTGACCTAAGGTCCTACTTTAATAAGAAAAAATAAAGAATATGTATGTTTTTTAATTAAGTGTCCATGGTTACATGATTCCCATGATTCAGTTGTAAATTGGGTGGGTCAGGTCCACTCCAGGCCTCATGTAGTGCTGAGCCTGAGACCTAATTACAAGCAGAACAACCATTTGCCTTCAATGATTCTTGGATCGCTGCTATAGAGTGTAGTGGGGTGTTATGGCATTCATCAAAATTAAAAGCCTCCAGTTGAAGGACCAGTGAAGGAGGTCGAAATTTACTTCTCACACTGTCCTCTAAAACTGAAAGCGTACATCATGTTTAGATCTGGTTTCTGGGGTCTTCATGAAACCTCTCTGTTCCTGCGTCAGTGTATCAGCACTCAGGAATATGGCAGTATATTGAGGAAACAGTGTTTGCTTTTATCCTGTAAAATTGCATCATATTTCTTGTGACGTTATTTGACCCTGCAGAGCAATTATCTGGATCTAATCACTCAAATTAGCTGGCTGCTCATGCCATTAGATTTTCTTTGTCAACAGAAACAGGGCATAGAAAGCATCCGTTGGTTTTCTCTAAATATGTTTTTGGATGTAAAAAGTAGGGTGAATGATCCGCATTGGCCTTGGAAACAAGTGGTGAAACTTACGACATTTTGTTGTTTAGACAGATGCTATTCAAATATCCTCAGTGGTGTTACTAGAATGTGGAGTGAACAAGTCAATATGAAAAGAAATTCCAACAAAATGTTGACAGGAAAAAAGAAAATAGTTTTGAATGCATGAAATGCTAACTTTACAATCCAAAATATTTAACAGTTAATAGTTAAAGCAGCACTAAGTAGAAATTCCGTTTTTGTCAAACAGCGACCCCTAGAGTCGCTGTGGAGTACTTGTACTGTCGTGAATAGCACTCACGCAAAGATGGCTCGCAATCACGGCCGGATCCCCTCCCCCTCTACACCGGTACCTGTTCAGTAGGATGGACGCTGTAACGAGTGGAAATAAAGTATGGCCCCTTTAAGAGCTGCGCGCGCCCCGTTTAACTGTCGGCAGTCTGTATTGTATGTGCGCCTCGAACACCACATGTATACGGCGCCGGGTTATTTCTGTTTGATGCTCGTTTTATCAGAATTTTATCAGATCTGTTTTTTGCCGTAAAGCAATTCGTTACCTCGCGAGACCTGATGTCACACGATGACTCGCCGGCCCAAAGTTGCAAGGGTGGTTTTGCGGCTCACAGGCACCAGGGGGGTGCGAGACGACCACCATTCAACACGAAATCAGTAATATAAACATTACAATGACTCCAAAGCTGTTCGGTTAAGGTAAAAAAGTTACTTAGTTCACCTTTAACAGACCATTTTTGGTGCTGTTTTTCTCGCAATTCCAAGGATATTTCTCACAATTCTGTGAAGAAACAATAGAATTACATAAACTTGATAATCTGACTTTTTTTCTCACAATTGTTATATAAAATCGCAATTGCGAATTATAAAGTCCGAATTGTAAGATATAAACTCGCAAAAAAGTCAATATGGTGAGATTTAAATGTTATAGGTGTCACAAATTGGTTGCAATAATGAGAAAAGGATCTAAATGCAGCAGTCTTCATTTTGTTAACAACAGGAACAACCAATTTAAAATGCGAAGTAGAACTGACAATGAACTGGAAGAAACACTGGGCTTAAATAGACCGAACAAACAAATCAAAGAAACGTGAAACACCTGTGACAACTTTATCAAACCATTTGTAACCTAGGAGGCTAACTGAGGCCATGTCCAGACTAATGCGTTTTAGTTTGAAAACGTATATTTTTCTCTCCGGTTTGGCCTTCCGTCCACACTGAGACGGCGTTTTAAGTCAATGAAAACGTAGCTTTTGGAATACGCTCTCCAAAGCGGATAAATTTGAAAACGCCGTTTTCGCGTTGTAGTGTGGACTGTAAAGCCGGAGGCATTTGAAAACGATGACGTAAGTTTAGTCATGTGATCCATGTTGTACCAATAGATATTCATGTTTACCGGTATAGAGCTCGGGCGTAGACGTTATGGAACAGTGCATTATGGGTAACGGCGGCCATTTTAGCGGTAACGCAAAGGCCGGTTTGGAGTAAGTTAATAGCTTAGCCGGCTGGTCTCCAGCACCGGCACCAAGAGTTATGGACCTTTACAAACCTAAACTAATACCCACCGGACGAAGAAGGGTTGGTTCTCCACAGAACATAAAATATTCATTTTATTTTATTTTTCGTGTTCGCATTTATTAGGAAAAAACAATGTTACGGACATGACAGTTCCCTGAAAGCGCCACTAAAAGACTGCTTTAAAACTTTCAGAGACATCAAAAAGAGAGCACAAAGGCTTTATTTAAAGTGAATTTCGTTTTGTATTAATTGTATCTTAAAGGAACACTCCAACTTTTTGGGACTTTAGCCTATTCACCTTATCCCCCAGAGTTAGATAAGTCCATACTAGGGTTGGGTATCGTTTGGGTTTTATCCGATTCCAGTACCTACTCGGTATTTTTTAAACGGTTCCGGTGCTTAAACGGTTCTTAAATCGGTACTTAAGAAAATGAAACCGCACACACTTTATCAAAAAATAATACCCTTTAATTTACAGGGCCAAACTGGACACAATATTAACTTAAATCTTTAAACAATATAAATACAAGTAACATATGGTAATAATAAAACCAATATAAAATAAAAATTCATATTTACATAATATCAAATGAAACAATATTGTATCAAACAATGTAATAATACTGGAGATTAATAGAGATTACTAGCAGGCAGAGCTGCCAACTCTCACGCATTGACCGTGAGACTCACGCAAATGACCCTTTTCACACAGAAAAATCGCGGACAAAGAGGACACTGACAGACAAGACAGAGAAGGTTACTTTTGATATGGAACAAATCCAAAGCTGTCAGATTCTGTCAATATTTTTACGAGATTAACACAATAAATAACGTTTTGGCTCTTTGAAATGTGACAGATCGCTGTAGCGCGTCAGTTCAAACGGCACGTGATACAGCAGCCTACAAATCCACTGCTTCTTAGCTACGCAGCGTTGAGTGAACCTATGAAAGAGAACATCTCTGGTTACTGGTGTAACATCTCTCAATTGGGAACGGGACGCTGCCAAGCTCCTCGCGCTGCCGACCAGCTTCCTTTTTCGGCAGAGAAATCTGAGGACGGAGCAGATGGCGCGCGCGCGCCAACATAATATGACGACGTAAGTGCGTCGAGGCGGCGCCCGCGCCATCAGCCAATGAATTGGCTTGATTCTATATGGGATTCAGACTATCGGCACACCCAGAGGGCGTTCTGACACGTAATTTTACACCTGAAATGCAGCCAAACCTTGTGAGAAAGAGCGCGCATGCGAGACAGAAGAAACTGCGCTCCAAACTGTGTAGCACACGCACGGCGGAGAGAGAGCGAGCGAGAGACCTTGTGTGTGTGTGTGTGTGTGTGTGTGTGTGTGCGCGTGTGTGCCTAATGAAGTTAGGCACCGAAATCAGGCACCGAAATTTTCGTTCTTATTCGGTCTGGTTACTACCGTTTACGTCGGAACCGGTTCCCTATTGGCACCGAGTTTCGGTACCCAACCCTAGTCCATACATACCTTTTTCATCTCCGTGCGTGCTATAAGTCTGTTTGACGCATCCACCGCTAGCCTAGCTTAGCACAAAGACTGGATGTAAATGGTTGCAGCTAGCATACTAATCCAAATAAGTGACAAAATAACGCAAACATTTTCCTATTTACATGTTGTGATTTGTATAGTCACAGAGTGTACAAAAAACAAAGTCACATGATGAGACACAGACATATTTTAACCGTATAAATACTGGGAACTATATTCTCTGAAGGCGAAGCACTGCTACTTGGGCGGAGTGATAACCGCAGCACCTGAGACGAGCCGTGGTGAGGAGCAGAGAGCGCGTCTCAGGTGCTGCGGTTATCACTCCGCCCAAGTAGCAGTGCTTCGCCTTCAGAGAATATAGTTCCCAGTATTCATACGGTTAAAATATGTCTGTGTCTCATGTGACTTTGTTTTTTGTAAACTCTGTGACTATACAAATCACAACATGTAAATAGGAAAATGTTTGCGTTATTTTGTCACTTATTTGGATTAGTATGCTAGCTGCAACCATTTACATCCAGTCTTTGTGCTAACCCAGGCTAGCGGTGGGTGCGTCAAACAGACTTATAGCACGCACGGAGATGAAAAAGGTATGTATGGACTTATCTAACTCTGGGGGATAAGGTGAATAGGCTAAAGTCCCAAAAAGTCGGAGTGTTCCTTTAATTTTG